TGTGGCGTGCCACACCCCACGCTTGACCCTGATCGTAACTGTAACGATAGCCAATGTGTGCAGTCACACACGTCATATTACCTGATCGCGTTGTCTATATCAAAGTTTACTAATTTTTCACTGAAAGTCCGCTTCAGTTCATTTTTTATCTTTGTGATTACTTACGGATGTGTCGCATAATATTCAGCTCCACGGTTTGTACATAATTCCTCACTTTGAAACTTTCAGGATGGTGTCATTGAAATTAGCTAAGTCAAAACCTGCAGCAAGTCGCACATCTCGTCATAAAAAGAAATACTGGAGAAAAGGAATTGACATGGATGTAGTTGGCAAAAGCATTCGTAAGAATTTTTGCACATTTTGGAGTTTGTTTTGAGTTATTTTGCATTCTCTTTTCAAGATGATGTTGTTCAACGATCAAAGGCAGATACTCCCGATGGTGAACTCTTTGCAATTGATCGAACACCATCTAGCGAAGTTAGGAAGTTTACAAAACGTCAGCAAGCCGCTCTGGATAAAATCTCAAAGAGTATAAGGTAAGTTAGTTTTTAAGCACTCCAGCTAATTTCAAATTTTTGATGTTTCCCATTCAAAGCAAATATCTTGTGTATTTCTTCTTCAAAGTTTCTTTAAGCGAACCAGAAAAACTGCCGCTACCTCCTCCAAAATGTCCGCCACTCAAGAAACAACCGAAACTGAAGCAGCCGGTGGAACGTAAGGAAAAAGTACAGAAGAAACAGGATGCTCCAAGTTACGATCTATGGGAAAAGGGTAACTTTGGATCCGCCCATTGGCTTAATATTCTTGAAATTATTCTTGTGATCATATGAAAAAGAAAAGCTTGTTCTGCATCACAAATATCCATTTTCTAGATTTCGAACCTAAAGTGGATTTGGAGTATAAAGAAGCAGGTGATCACATGCTTCTTTACACCAAGAAGAAACTTCCGCACAAACCAGTAACAGCGAGTTTTAAGCCAAGTTTGCTCGACCACGTCGCGTTACCTGATGCTGGCACTTCTTACAACCCTAAAGCAGAAGATTACGAGGTTTGTACCCAAAATATATTATTTCCGGTCTTTCTCCGTCATCCATGTTTTCATTTCCAAGTATTTGTACATCATCTTTTCAATTTGTAGAAATACGTGATGAAGATTGCACAAGATGAGACAAAGTTGATACTTGAGGAGGAGAAGATTGAAAGAGGAAGAAAACCGAAGCGTGAGAGCGTTGTGACATATGTAAGTTTTGCACTATCCCTTTATTGAATGCGATTGAGCTTTTATTCTTAGGAGGAGAAAAGCTTGGAAGAGACAGAAGGATTAGTTATTGATCCTCGATACAATGCTGAAGAAGGTGAGA